ACTAGACTCTTAACTCTGACGGCAGGTAAGAGTTCAGAGACCATGTGCAAACTCCCCCTCCACCTCCCCAGAAAGGAATAAATAATAATCAACAATAAAAAAACTGAACTCTTTACTCTGACGGCAGGAAAGAGTGCAGAGAACACATGTAAACTCTCCCTCCATCTCCCCAGAAAGGAATAAATAATAATCAACAATAAAAATACAGAACTCTACTCTGACGGCAGTTAAGAGTTCAGAGAACACATGTAAACCTCCCCTTTCCACCCCAGATATTAATAAGTAATGATCAACAATAAAAAAACTCAACTCTTAACTCTGACGGCAGGTAAGTGTTCAGAGAACAAATGGACCTCCCTCCCTTCCCCAGAAATAAATAAATAATGATCAACAATAAAAAAACTGAACTCTTAACTCTGACGGCAGGTAAGAGTTCAGAGAACACATGTAAACCCCCCCGGCCCCTCCCCAGAATCCGACATAGCCCCAACTCTGACCGAACTCTGAACTTTCTCTGAAATGTTGGAAATATTCAAGTCTTACGCAACTCTGACGCAACTCTGAAGTCGGTCCATCAGGGGTGCCACCGAACTTAATCGAATGACAAAATCCCTGTAGGATGTAACCACTAAGCTTAAAATATATATATATATTTTTTTTTTTTCGTTGAATAAACTAGAAAGTTTGACTTTTTCACCCCGGATTAATTAAAAATCCCCCTCTCAGGGGGTTTCTGTTTTTTTGTAGCATTGTAGGGTGCCCCCGAACTTATTCCAATGACGAAATTTCTGTAGGCCTCATTTACTCGGTCGAAAATATTTTTTTCCGCTGAAAAACTCCAAAATATCCTCCCTGATTCGAGTATTTTCCCTACCTGACCTAAGTGAAAATTGGATTGACACAATTTTTCATACAACAATCCTTTCTCATACACAAATCAAGTAGGAAACTCGGATGGATTGGATCATATTCATCCTACTCGAATCAAGTAGGAAAAATTCTTGGTTCAAGCCGCAAGCTACTTGAAGCAGGAAAACTTTTTTTTTGTGTTCTCCCTCATTGTCACAAATGTCACTGCTCATTGACGTTTTTTTAATTGTCACATGTTAAAATTCTGTGAGAAAACGTTTGTTTATTGCTTAGCAATAGGCGTGGTATTACCGAAAATTATCGATATCATAGACACCACGTGATGTCAAATCCCAAGGAAATCCCTCCTATTGGTCGAAATTGGAATGGAGGGAATAATCACTGAAATTTCAGGAAATTCCGCGATTGAAAAAGGAAATATTCCATTGATTTCCAGTTTAAATGATCAAAAAATCAATCGAATAATTCATTTTTCAGTTAAATTATTCTGTGAACATTCGGAAAAATCAGGGAACTTGCGGAAAAAATTAAATTTTCATGTTTCATTTAAAATTCAATCAAGCTCTGAAATTTCCATCTCACTTTCACTGAAAACTCATCAATTTTCTTGAATTCTACCTAAATCTTGAAATTTCATAATCATGTTCCCCCAAATCGGATTCAGTGTCACTCTCATGACAATTACTACCAGATTTTCCATGAAATTAAAAAATTCTAACAGTCTAGATTCTTCCCCTCCGCCCATTCAGTCGAGAATATTATTTTCCATAAGAGAATCACATATACCAAATCGCGAAATATTATTCCGGAATTGAGGATAAAATTTTCCGGATTCCGGAATATAATTACGGAATTGAGGATAAAATATACCGGATCCCGGAATATGAAGGAAAGGTGAAGTACGGAAAGATATTGTTCGACACATATGAGATGGGAATTTTCAGCTCGTGTAATTGCTGGAAACTTGCAACTTCACACTGGGACAAATTCCGCCTCACTCGTATCGAAATATACTATTATGGACATGGTCTACGAATAGCATATAACGAATATTCAGTTCAATTTATTTATTCTCTTTAAAAAAACTTGGAAACTTAAATTGTAATGATTACAATGCTTCCATTTGAAAGCGAAACGGTTCATCAACACTGGTAGGGAATTGTATAAAGTACGAAAAGATCCATTGGTAATTTTCTTTTTCTCTCCTGTTTTCGTATTATGAATGAATTTTTGGTATGACTTTGTGTCGACCCTTCCTTCTCAAGTTCATTTTTTTCGCCAAAACTCCTCACTCCTCCTTCGTTTAAGCATCTTTGAATATTCCTCCCCCATTTTCCTCAATCCCCAGGAATAAGAAATAAAAATCTAAAAGTACCTGTTCCAAGAAGGAAATCTAGTAACAGGTATATATCACTGGTAAACTGCATAACTTTTATCGTCATAAACCCGAGAAGAAAAACGACGAAAAAATCTCATGAGAAGTCGAAAAGTTTTGAATACGACTATTGGGACCATTTCAGATGTTGATCGGATATGAAACTGGACAGATTGTGCTTTGGGATTTGAAAACGAAAAACGCTGAGTGGCGATGCCAGACAGACGAGCCACTTAGATCAATCTCATGGCATCACGAGGGCAAGCAATTTATGTGCAGTCATACGGATGGATCACTGTCAACCTGGTTGCTGAGGCAATTCAAAGCAACAAACGTTACACATCCACATGGTGAGTACTCCCCAGGAGCAAATAATGATCACACAACTCCCTGACTTACCACATTCGGTACATTTGGATTACGATAGGGAGAGTCGGGGGGCTCTTTTTCTACCACCACTATTCATTCATCGATTTTCACTTTCTCTCTTTCCTTTTTTCCACGAATGCAGCAAAATTGTCAAAGGACGGAGAGCCAGAGCCCTGTAAATCAATCCAGAAGGTCGAATGGAAATTATCTAGATCAGGGTAAAATAAAAAAATGCCACAGTTCTGATTAATAATGCTTTCATTTTAGAGAGATGGCTGGAGTTTCATTATCGTTTATGGTGTGTGAATTTTTTAGAGAGGCTTACGTCATATTTTCCGGAGGATTAGCGTATGATACCACTGGTAGAACTCCCAGTATCACAGTTATTCAGGGAAAAACAACAACTGTTTTGGAGATGGAACATAATGTCGTTGATTTTATAACGCTGTGTGAGAGCCCCTATATGAGTGGTTGGTATTTATTTGTCTAGTGCAGTTTATGAATTTTAAAAACGAGTAAAGTGATTTGTGGACCTGGCGCTTGAGTTGTTGAAGGCTTTAATGAAAAAATTTGATGTTGAGAATGTATGGACATTAGAGGGAAAATAATGGTGAAAATTTGCTGAAAATTTATGTGACAGATTCTCTCTGGAAAACTCATTTGGGTGGAAATTGGATACAATGACATGCGTTCTTGTGGGTTAAAGCGAAAAATATACCTGCGGAAAAATAGTGGTCAAAATCTGGAACTTTATTTTTGGCAACGAATGAAAACTCAATATTTCTTTAAAAAGCACATTATTTTTTAATAAATGGTTCCACCTAATAGTTCGATATGTATACAAAAAGTGCATAGAAAGATGACGAAATTTTCGAGTTTTCCGCTAAAACTCAATCTGGTGTCTATACATCCTTAAGTAGCGAAGTATTCCACTTTTATTATTATTATTTAATTATCCCACTTTGAATATTTCACAAATATCATCGGAAGGCAGGAAGTTTTCTGAATATATCATAGAACAGTCTGCAGGAAATTCCTCGTTCGATAAAAAAATTCGCCGGATTTTTCTTCTAAAAAATTGCTACCTACTTTGATGATGTTTGAGGAACTATCACCATTAAATTCACCTTCCTGTAAAATTTGTTTTAACACCCGATCCGAAATGTCATCTAACAGTATCCTGTAATTTCACGTAGATGTGTAACGCAACGTCAATGTCTCTTCTCCAGCGAGGGTTATCGAAAAAAAGCGAGACCATACATTGAGAGAAAAGCGAACAAGTTCTCAAACAAGTAAACAATAATTGTTTGGTTCGAATTTGAAAATCTCAAACATGAATAATTGCTCTGCTTTAATCAACAACGAGCTCTCTCATTTTTTTCCTCTAAATTTATTATATTAGTTGATAAAATATTACAAAATAAACTCCTTCGAATTTTCACACTTATCTTGTTTAATCCATGCGAAAATGAATGTATTTTCTGAAATGTATTCTAAATATATAACATCGGCCGAATCATATGTATTTGTAATACATTTTTCCACGAGCATAGGATCAGCTAGGCTGATGACCCTCGGGCCAGTCACAAACTTCTTGCGACAAATTCCGTTAAAAATAAATAAATAAATAATAGGATCAGCTTTCAGAGAATATTTTGGTATCTAAGGGAAATATAAAAATTTTCCTAGAGATATTTTTTACAGCCTGGCGCGCTACCAAAAGGTCCTCATAAACCCTCATATATCTCCCCCAGAATCAAAGACATACATAATTCATGCTTGTAAAGTTGATTTGACGTGCCTCGCTCATCTTCATAAAAGCCGACTCGGTTTTTCATAATTTCATCAAATCTAGTTATTTTTTCAAATAGTGCAATGTATAGATCGCCCTAAATATTGTCTCATGCAGTTCCAATGCTTTGTGCTTCTTCACTTAACATTTTTCGCGTTTTAATTACACTTTACAGACTTCCAGGATCCTTACGCTGTAGTAGTTCTACTTCAAAATGACTTGGTTGTGATTGACCTATTAACCCCGGGTTTCCCCTGCTTCGAGAATCCATATCCAATGGATATACACGAGTCTCCAGTTACCTGCTGTTCGTACTTCGCCGATTGCCCGTCGGATCTAGTTCCAGCATTTTACTCAGTTGGTTCAAAGTCCCAGAAAAAGACGGGATTCAGTGAAAAAGAGTGGCCTGTGTCCGGTGGTGAATGGAGTTCCAATTCTAGTAGCTACAATGAAATTATCCTCACTGGGTATACTATTAGATTAATGAATCATGATTTTCGTTATTAAAGTAGTATGAACACACCTCGATTTTTGAAGATTAAAATTTGAAATTAATTTTTAATGAAGATTGATGTGCATAGAAACATTCAGGTGAAATTTGTGCTGAATCAAAAGTCTAATATTATTGATAATAATTAATGTAAAAGTCCCAAATAACACCGGATTTAGTGAGAAAGATTAAAATCATGAAGAAGTCCGGAAAATTGAATTGACAATTTCCTCAATTCTGATTTTGACCAATCAGAGTGCAGTATTCGGGGTCACGTGACGCGTTTCACATTGAACATTGAACATTCCCGGTTGCAGGGAAATTATCAAACTGATAATTTCCCTCCAATTACACAGCGATATTTACACATTTCACATTTTGGATAATTTCACATTTTAGTGAAATGTGTCCCGTAACCCCGAACACTCCACCCTGATCAGCCCAAATCAGAATTGAAGAAATTGTCCTCCGAATACTCCTCGACCTTAAAAATTCATCGGATATTTTCCTCAAGTCTTCCTGCATATCAACAATCGGGATCAGTTGCGCCGATTAAAATCCCGAGCGCACAGCGCGAGGGATTTTACTGCAAAACTGACCCCTCTCGTTGCTATGCAACAAAATATTCGGGAAATATCCGATAATTTTGAAGGTCTTGGGGTATTATAGCTGAAGTTTCACATTGAATGTGAAAATTATCGAGAGCCTCAAACCTTTGTTACAAATAATTCATATTTCTTGGTGCTTTGAATTGTTAGAAAATAATCATTGAATAAAAATTGAGGATATCCAAGTATCTTTTATAGTTTGTTCCAAACCACACTACAGATTCAAGCATTTTTAATCATAAAATTTGAAAAAAAAATCATGAATATTCAGCGTCGATCAAATCACATTTGGCAAAGAATTATTATTATTTTTTTAAACATTCGTTGTTTATAAATAAATAATTAGTTGTTTAAACTTTCGGAAACCTTATTTTTTTGGGCATGAAATTAATTTCTGGTTAAATTCTGAATATGAATAAATTTGTTATGATCCCGAACAAATAATTTTCATAGCGGAAAATTGATTGTTTATAAATGATTTTATCAACCTTCCTCCAAAAGTAAACTTTCTAATTTTTCTTCAGATTTTTAACAATGTATTTCCTACCAAGGGAAGGAAAATAAAGGTTCCTCGAGAATAAAGGAACCCGAGCCGAAGGCTCGGGTGGTAATTCTGCACGTGGGTAAGGGTCCTTTATTTTACCTCCCGTGGTGAGAACGTTGTTTTTCGTCACGGCGTAGGTGGAAAGGCAGATTTTCCTCCGCGTGGGCGGAAAGGAAAATGTGTCCTTTCCGCCCACCGTGGCGAAAAATGTTTTTCAATGGTTCAATATCGAGATTCAAATTCAGACCTGTAAAGTTTAAATAATAAAATCATTGTGAAATGTCCGGAAACTTAGGGTTAAATGGGGCTGAAATGAAAGCTCTGATATTCGACTACAAAAGAAGAAAAGCATTTCACAGCAGAAAAAATAGCTAAAGTACTTGAATATCCTTAATAGATCAGTTTCAAATTAGAATTCGTATGAAAACTTATAATTACAATTATACACACACTCAACGTCTCAACCGGAGTATGTTCATATCACTTTAACCAGATGAAGCTATTTTGTACACTTGTACATTTCCAGATTTACATTTTCAGCTTTTTCGCAGAAATTCAAAAGCCGTTAAATGGCCAATACAGTAGAGGCTTTATATAAGGTACCTTAGGGACAGCAGGAGAGTGGCATTCCGGGAACCGATATACTCCCATAGAGAGGAGAAAAATAGCGATCAGCGGATTTTAAATAAGATACCTCGTTCGTTGCGCCCGAATTCAATGAAATTTTCATTTTTACTGAATGAATATCAATAACTAATCAATTTATATGTGTTTAATGTTTTGAATTTGTATCGCCCGAATTCCCTTCTCTCTCTAAACATAACCCCGCGTGATAGAATGGCAGCTGGTGTTGGGGTATTGTTGGTGGACTGGAGAATAATCACAGACGAAAAATTAGGATTTTTCGATGGGAAAAGTGAAGAAAAAACCGATGTATATTTCCATTACTTGAAAAAAGTGGTGCGACCCTTCCTTAACGTCTTTAGACCCTTATGATCACTTCGTTCGTCCCTCCCGTTTGACCCTTAACAGCGTTTGATCCTTATAACTACTCTCTTCACGTTAAAAAATGACCGGGGTCATAGGTATCTTATAAGAAGCCCACGGAGCATAAACATTCGGGAGGTGATAAAAGTGCGGAGAGTGGGGGTAGGCCTCGAGCGCTCGGAGCGCGAGGTATCTTATAGAGACGTATCTTATACGAAGCCTCCATTGTAATAAGGTCAATTCGATTCATGACAATATGCATGTTGAAATTCAAATTCTGTAGCGTTAATAAACGTAATAAAAATTTCGCAAGGCGCAGTGTAACAATTGATCTAGACTGAACCTCAATCCAATTAATTTACGTTTATAAATTATATTCCCAAATCGTTGAATTTTAAGATTTTGAAAATCATCACCAATTTAGACTAACTCTTTCAAGGAATACTGCGTCGGCATGTGAAATTCTTGAGTCTACAATTTCATGAAATAATGTGACATCATTTTGAACATAATTGAGTATTGGTAGCCTTGACGATTGATATTTACCGTTTTCTATGGAACTGCAGACTAATGCTAAGATATGTAGAATTAGTTTTGAGTTTTCCACGTAACTTAGAGAATTTCACTGCTATATCCCAAAACTGCAATCGACATAAAACATCGGCATCTTCACTAGAGTCTAAACATTCACAGATGCTCTGAATTCTGAGGAGCCTTCATTCAAAATTCTTCACAGTATACATTTTTATGAATTTAGAGAAATGATTGGCATCAAATTTCTCAAGAATATCCAAGTCCGTCTCTCAACTGAACAGTTTTGTAAGTTTCAAATTTTTCGCAAAATATTGCCATCACTTTACTTTTTCGCAGTTACCATTATTGAGTTAAGATCAATTATTGGATTAAGGGTAGGACTGTGCAGTTCTCATGGACACAATATGTAGAAACTCATTTTCCACAAATCATTTTGAAAAAATATTTAGAAATTAGGTTTGATATTGTGTCTAAAAAAATTCTTGGTTTATATTAACTCTGAAATGAAATTTCTCCGAAAAAATTGCTCGAACCGCTTAGATATCCTTGAAGAATTTTAATGTTGAATAAATAAATTGAAAAAAGTTTAACGTTGCATGATAATCAACAACAATTGCATCAATTGAATCATACACTCTTGATTTTAAAAATTATCCATTTTCGAGATGGGATATTTGTTTCCAAATTTGGAAAAATTTTAAATGTATCAAAAAATGTTTCACCAAATTTCAAAACGGGATTGAAATTCCATCATTGTGTTCTTCTTAATCAAGTGACTTTTGGAATTGGGCAAGGACAATCGCGTGAGAATAATCCATAGGGAAGAGACGGACAAAGTGGAACGTTTATGATCCACTTCAATACTTGATATCTTTGTTCATAAATAAAAACGTTAGCATTGACAAATGGGTCAATGGGTTGATGACAAATGTTAACGTTTAAAATTGGAATTACACGTTACTCCACCGTCCTCTAGATAATTCAGTACCGAAATGATTGAAGGACATGAGTAAACTCAACTCGAGTATGAGTTTTTGATAGATACTTCTAAAGCTGAGGCAGACAAGTGAATTTTATCAAAAACTTTGTGACGAAGGACCCTTTTACAATAAATATAATAAATCTTAATTCGAGCGCCATTTGATTTTATGCCTGACAAATTAATAATTCCGGCTAACTTCAGGAAAAAAGCGACCCTACGGCAGGAGCAGGAAACTCCTTGTGCTCTACAGGATTCCAAAATCGCAACATACAGACGGCGATTAAAATAGTAAAATCAGTATATTTTCAATTTAAATCTTGCATAATTCGTTGATTTGACCTTCCAACGACTTGACAATACTGAAAAATATTTCCAATTCATTTTTCACTCGACCATTACTGAAATTTACCGTTGTTACCGTTATTATCACAGAACATTGCCTTGATGCAATGACAAAATGGCCCAAGAACTGAGACGGAACCATTACACGTATGAAAAAATCGTATAGAAATTTTCTATATGAATTATTTCTATACATAAATTTTTCTTTTCATACTAAAGATGTCTAAATGCTCCAGAGAATAACGTAGAGAAATGTCGCAACTCCATACGAAATGCTTCTACACGTGCGGCAGTGGGTCGTATAAAATCCAACTTATAGAAATCGTATAGAAATAATTTGTATAAAAAATATTCATATAGCAATATCCGAATATCATATACGAAAATCCTATAGAAATTCTATGCCCAATCCGTATAGAAAATTTCTATACAATTTTTTCATACGTGTAAGGGGAGATTCACCCCGAGAAAATAACTCCTTCGTTTTTCGAAAAAAAAAATTTTTAAATCCCATTTTTCGCATGATATTTCCTCGGTAATCTGATATTGTCGGAAAATTAGGGAGTCGAATTTTTTTCAATTGAAAAATCAACTGAAAGAAAATCCCTAACGTATTTTTTTCATAGTTTGCTGGATATGATCACAAATTTTCGCTCCTTAACTATCAAAAATGCGGGAGAAGATAAATTTTGAAATTTATTAGTTTATGGAAATTTCGATTAATATCTCGAGAAAAAAAATTTCTTGCCCAAATATTACCTATAAACTTCATTTATTATTGCACACTCGATGTTTAGTGATCCTAATACATCGGCCCCGCCTTTTGTTACTCTATAGTTGAGAGGGCCTCTTTCAGTAATTGAAATTTTTCAAAGAGATGCATTTTTTCTCTATGGTTTCCATTAATTTTCTATTCTTCTTGTGGAAATTCACCCATTTTAATTAATACTCATACAAATTTGCGAGAATACAATCGATCCATTGAAAATAACGACTGTTTTTTATTGGCCAATAAACTTTAGAAATCTATCTTCTCCCACATTTTTCATTAGTAAGGAGCGAAAATTTGTGATCATATTCAAAAAACTATTTCGAAAAAAATACTTTGGGAATTTTTAAAAAACTGATTTTCCGCAAGTAATACCACGAGAGCTTCAAAATTATCGAGCAATTCCCGATAGGTTCATTTGTGTGCAGGGAACCTTGAGGGAATTACTCGATTAATTTTGAAGCTCGAGTAGTATTCAAGAGGGAATTTTTCCATCCAAATGTCGGCCAAAAGAATTGCACTATGAAACAAAATCCATTTGACAGTTCCAACCAGGGGTTCACTCGACCACGGAATCTTTTATTTTCCACAAATATAGTCAACATGAAAAATTACCAGTTGAATTATCAAAAATTATCAGCTGAATACCGTGTTGACTATATGAAATAACAGTCGAATAGTGGAATTCTATTGGCTGACATTTGGATGAGGAAAATTCCCGATCAAAAAAAACTCAAATCTCTCATGTTTAATTCAATGACTCACCTGCTGATCGATTTCAACTCAGCCTTAACTCGGAATAACTTCCACCATGTGACGATACTGCACAATTGACTAATACTATTACGTTGACTAAATAGTACTACGACCGACGGCAGTGGTTGTGTGAATAGAGTTGCATGTGAGGGACCCGGGTTCGAGTCCTGGCTTGGGCGCCCAATTTGTGACACTCTTCACCTCACAGGTTCATTGCCGAGCTGGATTCTCGCAAGATACGACTTTACCTGGTTTTTCCCTCAATCGAGGTTTTCCCTTGTCCTTTGGCAAATGCGGTACAGAGGGTTGGAGTGTGGGACGGGAACAACCCGAATAGTCCAGGCGTCAGAGCATTTAATTTTTCAAATGAACTGAATAATTTGGAACGAAGATTTTGCAGCGCCATTGTCTTGGTTTTGACGTAATTTCAATCCCACTTTGAAATTTGAGGGAATGGTTTCTTTACGCTTCGAATTTTCTCAAATTTTTTTGAGGAAAAAACAAAATTGCAACCTAGAATATGTGCCATTTGTTGAGCTTTCTTTAACAATATCAGCCAAAAAATAAGTAAAGAAAAAAATATCTATATTAATGAAGAGTAGGGGAGAGTGGGCAAAGTAGTGCGTATGCAGTCCACTTAATTTCTTGATATAAATAAACAATGAATGACTATCGTTGTTTATAAACAAAGATATTAAGAGTTTAAGTCGATGACAAAAGGTTCACTTTGCTCCACCTCCCTCTACGTGGAAATTTGCATATTTTGAAAGAGAAAATAGTTGCAGCAGCAAAGCTCGCGAAATCATAATTTGGTCACATAGTGCGTTAGAAAAAAAAACAAAAAAAAATTGGAAGTCTGACATACAAATTTGGAAAGAATCAGCAGCAGGACTGGGGTTGGTAAGGGAATTGTGTCACTTGGGAATGTTCCTTTGGAATACCCCATATAAAGATTATCTGTATCAATGGAGTAATGAACATAACGATACAAGTGTGCAAAATAGCAGCGTAAAAAACACTTTGAGACATCTCAAGTCTTAGGGATTGTGACCCATGTTTCTCTCATTCCAGTCACGCCGATGGCAGCATAAAATTCTGGGATGCCTCAGCTGGCTCGCTCCAACTACTTTACAAATTAAAAACAGCAAAATTATTCGAAAAGAGTAAAGCAAAGAGTTTAGATAATGAAGAGGATCCACTAGCAATCCAACTGATGCACTTGTGTCCAGAGAGTCGTAAACTAGCGATAGCTGGGGCCGGACGACACGTTGTCCTATTTAAATTTAAGAAGGCTGAGAGTATGTCAGAAGTCGTGGTACGTGACTTTGAAATTAAATGATTTTGATACGTAAGTGTAGGAGTATATTATATTATATTGTGTACCATGGGCGAAAATCCGTGGTTCCATCGCCCCAGGTACACATACGATTTTTCAACATGCTTGCAAAGAAAAATTCCCAAAGAGTGGAACATGAATTAAATAAATTCTCGTAATAACTCCTCTCTGATAATCTCTCCTTTCTCTTTTTTTTTTATTCCTCAATTCTTTCTGGCCTGTCCTTAGCTTTTACTATCTTTTAAATTCTTTCTTTGCTTCTCTCCCTTCTCTGCAGACATTGGAAATATCGCTGACATCAGATGGAAAAGATACGGAGGGCTCACCTGATCCCGATTTGGATCCATGCCAAATACCAGGTGTAGAAGAGTCAAGAGCTGCCGAGGCCGCGATGTCGTTAAAAGTCAAGGGAGGCCTGCAGAAAAGAGCCCCTGGATTTCAAGCGACACTTATTTGTTTAACGTCAAATGCTGGTGGCGAACAAACTGAGAATATTACATCACTCAGTCTCAACTCGTCTTATGGCCTGTAAGAACTCTTCAGTCACTTCAAACTGTCAATATTTCTCTGTTTGTCGTTGGTTCAGACATTTATCATGAATCGTTTCGGTAGAGTGATGAGAAAAATGTTTGAGTTGAACATAAAGTTCTTGTTTTTTATGCATTTTTTTTCCAAAACGACTGGTTTCAAGAGAGAACGGAGAAAGAACATTTTTATCGCTGAGAAAATTTTCTGCAAAAAATGCTGATTCATCCATTACGAAGATCGTGAACCATGAGAAGAGTGAGGAAACGGGAAATCTTTAATTGTTAAGGATGTTCATTCATTTTCCGCAGGTCGAATTTTTTCGATTGTTTGACAAAAATTTTTTTTTTAGTCATTCTGGAGGAACATACGGAATAAATTTTTCTGATAATTAAAAACAATTAGTCATAATTGAATTGAAAAAATTAGATGCACATTTTTTTTTCTGATGGGCTCTTACGGAATGTATTTTGAAATTGATAATTCACATATTAGAAGACTTAAAAAATGAAAATAAAAGTAAAAAACAATGTGAAAAAATATACTGAATGCAATAGCCAAGAAAACATCTTCAAAATGTCAATAGTCATACAAGTTCCAACATTGAGTGGTCTGATTTTATTTCTGAGTCATTAATTTAAGCATGTGGTTTAAATTTAAAGAGCTAAAGGGAATAAATCTACCCATCAACGAAGAAAAAAAAACAATTTTATGGGAGTAACAGTTTTGAGTAAACATTCTTGATTATGCATTTATTTCAGAAACTAGTGGTTCTAAGGTAAAATGGCGAAAGATCATTTCGGAAGCCGAAAAAATTCTCTACAAAAAATGCTGTCCAACCCTCTCTCTTAAGATTACTCATTGTAAAGATGAGTAATCAATTCAACAATTAGTAAAATGACTTGGTCCTGTGAAATCCTGAATCATTATTTTTGCATTTATCTCCGGAATGAGGGATTTCAGAAAATAATGTCAATAAACCTTTTTTGAAGCTGACAAAATTCTGTACGAATAATATTTTCTCATAATTTATCCTAAAATCACTTATTAACGAGACAATTCAGAAAATACATACTATTTTTACCGTTCCATTGATGTAAAGGAGTTCCACTTTTTCTCCACTGATTTATTTTCGTTGTTTATCTTTCCTTCCATCAATGTCAATTACTCTAGAATTATTCTGTATTATTCCCTGCAGTTTGCATGATTTTTCAACCGTAAATTGCACATTCTAAAACCCGTAATTTCCCCCCTCAGTCACAATCAACTTTCTTTTTAAATTACTGATTTTTCGTAGTACAAAGAAAATCGAAGCCATGTTTTATTCATACCTAGACAACTTCTATCTCTCCTAAATGTCAAAGAGAAATATTTTTCACATTTGAATGGATGTCTACGGCAGTTAGGCTTGTGAATTACACTGTTTTTCTTCATATTCTTCTCAAAGCTGTGTATATTTTCATTTGAATACGCCTCAAATTGCGCGAGAAAATATCCTGTTATGTATGTTTTATGAAGTATACAACATATCGATACTTTTCCATTTTACCATCAGTTCACCCACACTTTTTTACTTCTCACTGCATGAACAATGACTCGTAAAGAATATGAAAGATACAAAAGGGGCAAAAAAAAATTTACACGGGATGATTTAATAATGCAAGAGCCCATGCACTGAAATTATGGCTTTTTTCGCCTCGTTGAAAAGGAAATAACACGCAAAAAAAACTTATTGCAGATTAACATATGGAAATGAGTCTGGTTTAGTGGTCATCGACACTGTGCAAAAGGTGACACTTTTAGTAATGAATACTTCGGATCTGGGGAGTAGTGGTGATCCCTATCAACGGGCATTGAGAAGCCCCAAACGTCAGGACGATGGTAAACGTGAGGGCGACGATAAAGCGAGAAGTCCGAGCATAGATCAGGTAATCCATTTGATTCAGTGCAAACTCTTCACAACAGTCCTGTTCACACGTATATATTTAATACATGAAATGAAAGTAATTCGATGGTGCAGTGATGGAATAGGTCGATTTAATCTTAAAAGCCATGACTACTCACTCAGAAGAATAGGTATATATCAATGATATCGCATACATGACTAAAAAATTGATATGTATCATATATTCTAATCCCACTTCACGGTATATACTATGAGCGCTGAATTGAGAAACTAAATGATTTTCTTTTTTTCATTTCGACGGTATTTCATGCCGATTTTAAAATGAGATTTGAAATTAAGCATCTATTCAAATTGGATAATTTGCTCAAAGGAGATTCATTATTCAAGGTGGACGATTTTAATTCATCAGCATAGGTCTGAATCTAAGAGGAAGAGACAGAAGTCCAAAAATGCCTTTCATGAATTTTCCTATCATCATTGGTATCCAAGATATTTTCCGGAAACTGATGTTGAAAAGGAATGGGTATAAACAGTATGTTTCGATACGAGTGCGGAACGGTTGAAAGAACCCTTTTCCCATGAGTGTCGGTGCATCTTTCAAAGCAAAATATTGACACATTTTCGGTAGAGAATGCAATGGCCTACAAAAATGGTTTTTGAGGGTTTTTAAAAAATAGAATTACTGCTTGCAGATAAATTTGCAAAAGTATATGAAAGTTCTGAAGTAATTCCCTGTTCTTTCACTTCAACAAAGAATTACATATTATTTATATACATTCCTGTTGCTAGTCCGTGTTTACCCTCTATTGGATATTGTGTCGAGAGTACACCCAACACCGAGACCCCGAGGATAATGTTCTCTTTTTACTCCTTTTTTTAATCATTTTTTTATTAGCAGTTATACAAACTTATGACCCCGTGTAGAAATTGTAGTTAATTAAGGTTTAGTAGAGAACAATTAATTAGGAAAAATACAGGGGAGGGGGTTTTTAATACAAGCCTTGCGATCCAACGACAAACCGATAATTATCGTTTCTATAAAAAAAAAGAAGTTAACGTTTTGTTTGGAGTTGCGGCATTTAAATTACTCAAGTACCGTTTAGGATTTTTTAAAATCAAATATGAGTAAAGCACAGCCACAGCGAATGCGTACATCGGGTAATCAATTGGAGACAGACGCCGATACAATTTTTTCATTTCAACAATTGCGACATTTTGAATTTTGATGATTTATAGATTTATTACACTGGGTCGTGATATATCGATAGTGAGAACATTCAATTTATCGATGAGAAAAAAAATCAGCAACTACTGGTCACACTTGTCATTTTCCATTTACTGCGTATGAAAAATAATCAAATAGAACAAATACCATTAATTTTTTCATCAGGGACTTGAAACGCGTTCCAGTTTCGATTTCGTTTTAGAGGCAAGAAACGAATGTTCGAAGTCAGGAACGAAACTCGAAACGAAAGTCCTGGAACATTACAGCTAGGAAAATCGAAACGAAACTCGTAGAGCGTTTCTCGTTCAGATCAGAAGTCGAAACCTTACTTACCTTGAAAACGTTCCTTGGCAAGGGACGAAATTAGGAACAAAGCGACAGCATTGCCAAACTTCGATGCATAGAGAAAACGCTATGCATGTATTCTACACTCATGCATATTTCATGTGTAACAACTCTGCCTATCTTCCATTTGACTCTTATAATCCTTTGACTCAAGGGATTGTTTTTTGTCGCGCTCGTTCATCCTTATCTTTCTTCGACTCCCACGAGAGACTGTGGTTAGTTATTGAAATTCAACAATTAATTGTTGCAAAATTGGAATTAATAACCAATTGTAGAATTTCAACAATTGCAGTTGTTAAAATTCGTCAATTAGGTGTTAAAATTTGATAACCAGACAGACAGGGAGACATTTTGGTGAAAGTCAAATTATGATAAAGGCGAATGGGAGAGACGAGCAAGATGATTCCGAGAGACAAATTATTATGATGATCACACAGGAGAGATGAATAAGACGATCCTAAGGCTCAAATAATTGTAAGGGTCAAACGGGAGGTGTCATTGGAAGGGTTGAAAGTACTTGATAGTCGGAGTAGAGACATGAAGAAAGTTTAGGGCTGATAAAACTAATTCATTATTGTAGTCTGGCCGATTACGGAAGGGAAAGAAGGAGGGGTGGAATAATGAAGAAGGTATCAGAAGAGTCAGACGAGAGTATAGGAGGATACAGGATAGGAGACGAAGGCATCAGAAGGGTAAAATAGCGGTCATAAGTGTTCACATTTATCAGATGGGGTAGATAGAAGTCACAAAGTGTAGAATCAGAAAGGTTCTAAGAGTCAAATATCGATCATAATGGAAAGAATTGGAGAGTCATAACTGTCATAAGGGAATTACAGAATATGTATCCCTAAATAAGGAATATGTATTCTAGAATTGGAATGCAGAATATTTATATCGTGGGAATAGCTTAAAACATTAAAAACTAACGAAATCGAATAGATGAAGTCAATTCTGGTGAGTGGAGTGATCGCAAGGATCAAGTGGAGATGATCGGAATGACTACAATGGTCGAATATAAGAGACTAATAGCGGGAGATCGTGCAGACGTTGTGCGTGATTAAATGCGTTTTGTTGAAGACTTTTCGTAAAAAGTCACCGATTGGGATCTTTTTTTTCAAACTGTTCAGAATCAACTGTTACTTAAAGCCAAGCTGGGCTTTTGATTATTAATTTTTTTAAATTACTTTAGATGCGCATATCTCGGAAACTATTGAGAAATTATCGAGACATTCCGTGGAAAAAATACGCGGTATTTCGTAATAAATCGAATTTTTTTTTATTCACGTTTCGAAGTGGAATAGTTATCGAGATATCAATATTTGTTTTTCGGAGCGCGCCGCGAACTCAGTGGGTCTCTGTCTAACGCAGGAGCTTGTACAGTTACATCCCTGTTACGCTCATAACCAGTGTGTTTTCTCTCTATGATCTTGATCAAACTAATAGAGAGGCCACCATACCAGCTCCTGCGTGAGATAGAGACGCACAGAGTTCGCAGCGCGCTCCGATACACGAATATTGATATCTCGATAATTATTTCGCTTGGAAGAATAAATCAAAAACCACTTGGTTCGTTACGAAGTTCCGTATTTTTTTCCCGTGGCATTTCTCGATAACTTCTGAACAGTTTCCAACATATACGCATCTAAACTGACTTTAAGAAATTACAAATTAAAAGTCCAGCTTGACTTTAAATGACATTTTTTTATTATTTGATTCCGACCAGTTAGAAAAAAAATTATCCAAATCGGTGACTTTTTACGAAGAGCTGCCAACAAATGCGTTTTTGACGCGCATCACCGCGTCGAGGTGAGTGGAGTGCATATCAGAATCAATTGAGGGGGTGGCGTGTAGAGTATCACAAGGGTCAAACGGAAGAGATAAACGGAATGAACATAGCGGTCAAATGGAGCAGACGAGTGGAGTGAACATGAGAGTTAAATGGGGCGGACAAGTGGAATAATCACAAGGGTCAAATGGAGCAGAGAATTGACGTGAACTTGAGGGTCAAACGGGGAGGCGAGTGGAGTAAACACAAGGGTCAAACGTGGAAGGAAAGTGGATTGAACATAAGACTCAAATGGAGCAAACGAATGGCGTGATCACTAGGGTCAAGTGATGAATTCCAGTGCAGTGATCACAACGGTCGAGGGGACTGACGAGTGGAGTAATTACGGGGGTCAAACGGGAGAAATAGACGGAGTGATCACCCTGTTAAAATGGTTAGAAGCATCAAAAGAGAGTTTTTACCCTCGTGTTTACATCCGTTGCGGCCTTCCGTTTGCCTCTTACAATCATTGCACTCACATCCCCTGCTTGGTACCTATAATTACTCTATCCTCTTTCATTTGACCCTCATGTTTACTTCACTCGTCTTCCCCGTTTGATGCTATCACTCCACTCATGTGGCCCTTTTGGACCTTGCGTGTAATAAACTTGACTCCGCGTTTCACCCTCATCATAGTTCCCTTACTTCAATTGTCTTCTGCGTTTGCTCTTGTAATTACTCCTCTTTTCTCCCCATTTGACCCTTATATAAACTCCATTTGGTTCTTGTGATTACTGATTTAAGACCATACTTCTAAAGTTAGGACTACATTTCTGATTTTTTATAATTCCAGCTGTAAGGCAGAGCTTCACGGACGCTACGCGTCCGTGGATTGCTACTTACGGTCGTTATGACAACAATATTGTTCGTCACAAGGCCTAAAAAAACGTGTCTAGCTCATATGATTACAACCTTCGACGTCCGTATCGGGCTGCAAACTCATATTCGCCAGAAAATTTTGATCCGGCCTTATGGCGAAATCCACTACACGGGAAGAAATGTTCAATAAAAATTACCTATATTTTCCGTAATTCCGGAGCGAAATGTGATTGTAGGAAATTTTACGGAACTGTCACGGAATTTTTCCAGAGCGTTCCACAATTTTTACCTGAATCTCCTATGAAAATTTACGATACCATTACTTAAATGTTCTGAATCGATTCCATAATCGATGAGCGAACTGTAAGTTCCGTAATTTTTAGTGAACATTTCTCTCCGTGTATAGGATTACATATTCCTTTATATCTCTCCAATTTTTTCTTTTCCAACCGATATTTGAGCCTTATAAGGGTCGTATAAGACCCTTCGGATTGCACCCCTTGTAACCGCTATCTAACGCATCTGATAAATGTGGACACTTATAACCCCTATTTTGCCCTTCTGATGCGTCAGATCTCCCATTTTATCGTCTGATTCTTCTGACACTTTTCCCATTATTCCACCCCTCCTCCTTTCCCTATCACACCACATAATGAATTGTTGTTTCATCGGCCCTAAAACTTTGTTCGTCTCTCTACATCGCAACTCAATAGTACATTACATGCCCGAGCCTTGGAAAACAGATCACCCACGTGCTTGCCATCCTCGCCTTCGGCTCAGAAGGCAATCTTGCACGTGGGGGACGGTG